ACCCATCAACTAATGTTTTGGACCTTCTGCCCAGCTGAGGGAAAGACCAGTGACTTTCTGTGCACAGGGCTGAGCTCTGACGTTGGCCAAGTTCACAGAATGCCTTGGGTAGTTCCATGTAGGGAAATAGCAGCAAGGTTTGTTTGTTTTTTCCCAGATGATAAGAAAATGTAGTTTTTGTTAGAAGCCCAAACATGTGGGCCATACACATTTCTTGAGAGTTTTGGAAAGTCTGGGGTGTGAGGGCTGCACTGTCCCATTTCTCTGCTTGGGGACCAGACTGTTGGTGGAGGTACTTAAATGTGGTGTATCCGTGAGGTTCCAGATAGCAGGGAGGTACAAAGGTCATCTGAAGGAGCCTATCTGCCCACATTCCACCCAAGAGTCTAAAACTGAGGCAGGAATTTCTGTTTATCTCAAACATGATGCCAACGCTGGTCAGCAGTCTTTCTTTCCCACTGATGGGGATGGTCCAGGAAAACTTGTGGGAGCTCAGGACAGGGCTGTATATCTCTGCTCCCACTCACCATCCTACTCACACTCACTGCTGGGAACCTCCAGGGCCCATTTCATTTAGAGCTTGCTTTATGTTCAGAATGGGCACCTCAGGGGACTCATTCCAATCACAGCCCAGGGAGGGTCAGGCCAGACTAGTCAAGAAGTTATTTTGTCCCCATGACTCTAACTCTGACGGTGACCCTGAAGGAGATGGTGTTGATCCTCTTGAAGAATAGAGTCATCCAAATGCTGTGTTTGATTTAGATCCCAACTAAAATGTCAGTCCTTTTCCATGTGGTTGACCCCTACCCTCTCTGGACTCTTCAGTGAATCAGCTTCTGCCTCCTGTGGTTCTGTCCACAGTGGGCTTCTCAGTTCTCCTCCATCTCCTCTAGACCCTGACCTGCATGGGACCAGGCCCCAGCCTTGTGCACACTCTCCTCCTTGTGAGCATCTCATCCCACCTCCTAGGATAATACAGTTCCTTTTGCTCCCAACTGAGCCTCACTTCACTGGATGCTCAGTACCCACCCCATTGTCCTGACTGACAGTCCCTCACCTGGGGGGGAAGGATAACAAAGTTCCCCGTCTTTCTCTCTGGCAGCTTCCTTGAAAACCAAGATGAGCCATACTCCAGTTGAACAGTCCGTGATGGACTTGATTGTCCTGTTCCACAAATACACCAAACCTGATGACAAGATTGACAAGCGGGGCCTGCTGAAGATGCTGAGGGAGAATTTCCCTAACTTCCTCATGGCTTGTGTGAGTCTGGGTGACTTCTCCAGGTTGCTTGGGCCCTGGCATGGCGGAGGACTTTGGACAAGTCAATCCCATTCTCTGATCCTCAATATTCTCATCTGCAAAAAGGCCTAAAAGGACTTTCCTGACTTATTATCAGGATGAAAGAGATGATACATGTAGCCAAGTGTAAAGGAATCTGGAGATCAAGGGTAGTTATTAGGTGATGAAATAGAAGAGCAAAAATGGTCCCCTCCCACTTGTCAATCTCCATCCAGGAGACTGAAGCCTCTAGAAGCCTCCATTAGGTTCTCTGGGATCCAAGGGAAGGTGATAGAAATTCCATGGCTGACAAATTTAACACCGTTCATTACAATGAAAGATCTCATTAATAGACCTGATTTAGTCTGACAAATATACTAAACTGATTACAAAAGAGAGGTTACTACATGACAGAGAGAGTAGGTGAGCAAAAGAAGACACTGAGAACGGAAGGATTCCAGAGGGCAAATAGGAGATAGGAGAGGAGGGTAGGAATGAAGACACAAGGGGTAGGGCCTATCTAGTTTCTGGG